CGGGGCTCTCTTTTGTCACAGAATGCAAGCGATAGACTGGGATCCTAGCTGCAAAGACAGTTATAGCAGGTGTGATTGGTTTTCAAGTCCCTCAGCGGATCATCCGATAGGGCGAAATCTTTGTGGAGGCCAACGGCGAAGAAATGCCACTTACGCCGTTTTGGGAGAAACGAGATAGGAGCAGATCTCGCACACCAGCTGAAGTTTTATCAACTTAAGAACTTCAACCTCATCTTATTTACATGTTTGCATTTCCGTCTTTTACGGGATTGAAGTCTGCTATCTGATTCCATGGCTGTGTTCTAGACTGGTATATTATCACATAATGCAGTAAGAAGTCGTGCTGAGCGCGACATCAATAAGAAGCTAGAGCCCGACGACTAGCTATCCGTCTTTGCTTTACGAAAGGCTTACTTCAGAAATGGGAAACCCTCCTGAGCACACATTTGTGCTCAAGACTGTCGTGCTAAACGCTAGGCTGTGCATTCTCATTCGCCTCGCGATGGGGCTTCTACATTTGTGGCATTTAAAAGTCAGTCTCGTGAAATTGTATATCATCTAACCATGATTATATCTGTTTGATCCTTCCCAACATCCGCAATCGCCGCCGCACCTTCGGGTGGGAATCTTATAACCGCTTTGTCCAAATACTCGGGCAAGGGATCCTTCCCACCAGTGTCCTGTGGCGCTATGCGGACAGGAAGGTAGATATTATGGGCGACGCGGAGCAGCGTCGAAAAGCCGGTGCTGTATGCGGCACGCTGGCTAAAGACGACAAGAGCACCAATTGCAACACTGAGTGCTGAGATACTTATAGCAATGCCATACGTAACCCAAAGCGTGGCCGACTCGTATTGATAAAGATTTTGAGATGTCCATGTTTGCACGGTGGCGTTTGACGGCGCGAACGGAGACTCGTAGTTGGGGCTAGATATGAATGATGTCAGTTCTGACCTGCCAATACCTTGAACATAGTTGAGATATCATTTGTAAGTGTGCACTCACTTCAAGGCTGAGTTACTCATGAGGCTCACGGTAACGTTACGGAACATCTCCTCCATTAATTCGGTCATGGGTTGGGTGCCGGTCTCATTCTGATTGACACTTTTCCCGTCCCAATTCACATTGCCCAGCAACTCAAATTGCAGAGCCAGCGACTGCGTTACATTTGCCATTTCCCTGCTCTGAACCAAAGATGTTGTACCCATCGATGTGTCTACTGTGTACTGAATCGAGGACTTCTCGTCGATAGTGGAGGATATCGTCTTGACATAACCCACGAACATCGACGCAAAAGCATCCATGATAGATTGATAGGATAGCATCTGTACAGCGGTCTGGTTCAGCGTTACGGTTGTAAAGTTTGGATTGTACGGGAACCGGCCCGATGCGTCAGCTGAAATTTCCGCGAATGAGCTGAAGCCGCTGAGATAGGAGACGTTGTTCATGGAACGCGATGTGCTCAGGGTAATATTCTGAAGCCCATTTGTGTAGGCAAAGTCAGTACTGTAAGATACGTTTTGTAGCGTACATTCTTGTAGATAAGTATAGCCTCGATAATAGTTGGTTCTGGCTTGCTCGTATGCTAACACGCTCGAGTTGTACTCGCTACTGTAATTAGAGGGTGACACTCTTCCCCCCGAGCCCCCGGGGGGAAGTGGTCGAGTTTGTATAGTGCTGTACGAAATTGCGGGCGGAATCATCACATAGAGTGCAAGCGGTGACCCACCAACTGTGATTGAGCGTAAGTCAGATGAGATGCTACTCGGCACGTTGCTTCCGTTGCTGGGCACTGGCACCCAGGAAAGATACCTCACGTCGTCGAGCTGACTGGCAAGCTGAGTTACAGTATCATTTCCAAGACCCCGTGTATTATCTAGGGCTTCGCAACTCAATGCCGGTCCAGTAAAGCTAATGCTCCATGTCGAATTTGGCCCAGGCGCAGCAATGGGTAAGATCGTGCCGGAAATCAAGGATCCCTGAACTGACTTCTGCACAGGGAATTGTGGCTTTTGATAATTCATCTGGAATTGTTGCCACTCTTTGTCATTTAGAGCCCTCGTGATGTCCGAAAATGTCCAGAAGATTGATGCGAAGTTCATACTTGTGAAGTCAACCTGAGCAATACGCATGGATGCAGTAGTATTCAGCAACACTGTCTGAATATTCAAGGTTGACGGCGCAATGAGAGGTGCAAGTGGTAAGAGCCTGCCACGTTCATCAGCATTTCCACGTTCCAATCCCAAGTACGCCAAATTGCTGTCTCGTACCAAAACAGAAGAAGCAGAAGCGCCGGTACAGGCAGATGCCACCACATTCGGACATTAAGAGCATTTGGTATGGCCTCTCTAGACGAGAACAAAGCATCAATGAGTCCGAGTTCTGTGGGACGGCGCTTGATGGCTCTCCAGTTGAGCTGGTCGTGTGCGGACGCAATAGCGACGGCTAAGAAGGCTTTTGTAAGGAACACCAGAGTGTTCCCGATAGATATATTAAGTTGTTGTTTCGAAATACCGTGAGGGAATCCCCAAACATTATAGGAAGTATTCGGCGGCGTTGTCCCGTTCAGCTGATTATAGAATATGTGATGCCCAACAGCACATGCGATTCCAGCCACCAGGCTGAAGAACATCCAGGCCACCTTCATCACCAAAGGCCAACGATGATTTTCTTGTTGCTCCACCAGAGCTGGCTCGGTAACAGTCGGCGTCAGCGGCTGTTTTACATCATCCGGCGAGAAAGACATGGTTGTGGAATCGCATGAAAATGCAGCGCTCACAGTTACGACGACCACGCATGCGCACGAGCGAAGATTCTCGAGGCGACAAGGTAGAAAAAGGGATTTTATTGCTAATTATCAACGTCTCCACAGGGCCATGACCAACATAGCATGATACAATGCGCCTCTTTAGAGGTGTTTCAGAACCACAGGTATTGGGCTTAAGCAGCCCGGGCGCTTATAGTGTGCGGCACAGGACTTAAACCCTGCCATCACAATTTCGTCGACCCGTCGATCCTGGTCAGAGACTCGAGAGAGAAGGAGTTGACATTGGTGTCAATAGTTTCCAAATAGGTGTTCAATTCTAGAACCACTCGTAGTGGCATCCGAATTATTTGTTTGAGTGAGTAGTAATTCTCGGCAACTAATTATTGGATTTTAGATCAACATGTATGATTTGGTCTTTGATTACTACATCAAATTTGAAGGGACACACCAAAGTTTGGAATTTGAGGGTCCAATTGAATGGAATGCTTCTTGAAAGTTAATATAAAAAATCTTCCGGGGAATATACAATATGCAGCCTTGAATGTAATACAGCCATGCATAAGCTACAGAATGCTTCGTAGGCAGCACCTGGCACATTACACGACTTCAACCACTGTAAATCGTTCAATTTTAACTATCTTATACCGTCTATAGTAAATATCTATCTCTCGTTCCCAATTCCGGTACGCCCCGTAGCAGACCTAAAAGTCACAGATCTTTCTACTCTGGTAGAACAAGAATGTCATCGACATTCACCACTTGCCCGGTAGCGATTGATTTATTTGCAGCAATGCCTGTGAGTATCGATGCTGCACCATCAACATGACTTGCAGCTCGCATGTACTCATCTGAGACAGGCTCTCCAAACAGGTCGTTTAACAGAACGCTGTCGCCGCCTCCGTGAGCGCCTTTGCTCTCCGGAATCTCGATTTCTCGTGGCTTTTCGAACAACGGTCGTAGAAGAATTGTTCTCCGTTCAAGCGAGCCTTCAAGAGATTGATCGCCCCCAGAGTTGACGTAGCTGTTCTCCACCACTTCAACTTCAAGCCTACCCCCGGTTCCGTTAAAATTCACTCGAAAACCTTCCCAAGGTGCATATGCGGTGAGTGAGTAGGTCATGACCACTCCGTTCTTGTAACGAATGAGAACATTCATTGTATCCTCTATGCTGATTCCGTCACCGAAGACGCTCTGGTCTCTGTAATAGCTATCTTCGTGCTCTGCATCCAGATACATAGCCTTCAGCTGGTCATTCTGGTCCATATGCAATGCGAATGGGTCATCCTTTGCGGCCTCGCTCCCATGTGTACGTGTATAAAACTTCGTCACTCCTCTGCCCTCTGCGTTCTCCCGTCCATAGAATTTTAGGTCACCCTGAGCATATACGGTCTGTGGTCGGCTCTGCAGCCAAAAGTTGACCAAATCGAAGTGATGTGTCGATTTATGGACGAGCAAACCGCCGCTGTTTCGCTTGTCTCGGTGCCAACGGCGGAAGTAATCCGCTCCGTGAGAGGTGTTCAGCATCCATTCAAAGTGAATGCTTGTTACTTTACCGATGGCACCGGATCGAATCAGATCAAAGATCTTGGTATTATGCGGCGCATACCGGTAATTGAACGTGACCCGGACATTCTTCCCTGTTCTCTCAACTGCAGAGAAGATTTCTTTGCATCTAGGTGCGTCAATGGTCATCGGCTTTTCTGTGACCACGTTACAGCCAAGCTCTAGTGCGCGGACGATGTAGATGTTGTGCGTGCGGTCCATCGTTGTGATGATGACTTCATCGGGCTTTGTTTCCTTGATCATTTGATCGAAGTTTGTTGCAAGAAACGTGGGGACCTCGGCATGGCCCAGAGACTTCAGCTTCGAGTTTGCAAAGTTCATTCGTGTCTGATTGGTATCGCACAGGGCAACAATAGTGGACGTTTTGCTGAAGTCTTGTGCGATGGCGGAGTAGAAGAAAATCGACCGACCGCCAGTACCAACCAGCGCATAACGCTTCTTGCCTGTCACCGTCTCGGCCATCTTGGAAGCAATGCGGCGTGATTGCTGAACCAACGCTGATAGCTTGTGAAATCGTAACTGGTAATTCAGATTTTGCCTCCAAGATGATGGAAGAGTGGCTCTGATGTGCTTTGATGGTTATGAAAATCGCAACACGGCGGATTGTAGAACTAGGTCCGAGAACTGCAATTATTGTAACGATGAAGCACGGGTCTCGGCTGCAAATAACCCAGAACCCGAGCCACCCAAGAGGTGGAGGTTGACAATTTAGCCGGACTTGTGAATGCTGCGAGCTCGCCCCCGCATGCCGGGAATTTAGCCATGGCAGTTGTCAGCTGGGGAACAGTGTGGGGAAGCTCCGCGACTACCAATCGTCAGCAAAGCCAAAACTTTCCTACGACGATCCTTGGACAAAAAAGGGTAGACTATAGGATGGCTTCTCCAGATAATTCTTTCTTTGGATTGAGGCAATGGTCTTAGCTAGGCAAACTCCACAGATGATAATTATTCCCCCAATAGGATGCGTTCTAACATCTATTCGTCCAGTGTTTCTGGCTGCTTTTCAGGTGCCGTGTTGAGATGTGTGGAAGCCCTTCGTCCAATGTCCTGCTGTGCCAAGGCATGTCAACGGCACATTAACGGCACAGCACCCAGGTAAATGATTGAGATGGGGTCTCATGTCCTCCGGCTAATAGGATACCGATTACCTGGAGTTGGGCCACGCAATTGATAAGGGCAATATGACCCTCCAACATGCAGTTAAGCATGCAACTCTAGATTTCAATAAAGCAAAGTTAGTCTCGACTTTTTATATTTTGCTCATCAACCTCACTCTTGTAGAAAGCTAGCTTGTGTCAAAGGTTGTTGAGAGCCAAGATGGCTGCAACAGCAACTGATACTGGGGACGACATCACACCGATTCGTGATACCCCTCCTACTCCAAACCCTGCACGAGAAAAGGCTGCAGAGTTCCTTGCAACTCATGGCGAAACATCTTTTACCTATGAGGAAGAGAAGAGGGTGCTCCGCCGTATCGACTTTCGGGTACTTCCATTGTTGCTAGGAGCCTACTTTTTCCAGCAGCTAGATAAAAGCTCTCTCAGGTAAGACCAAGCAGTATTTTGGTGATTGTTGTTCCAAAAGTCGCTAAGTGTGAACAGTTATGTGTCTATCTTTGGATTGTCAGACGACGCAAACCTACATGGGAAGCAGTACAGTTGGCTGGGCTCGATCCTTTATCTGGCTCAGCTGGTTATGCAGCCATTGGCAGCCTTCATCCTCGTCAAACTCCCTACGGGTAAAGTTATCGGTTGCGCTATCTTTCTTTGGGGATCAGCTCTTACCATAATGACTGCTTGCACAAACTTTCCAGCCTTACTAGGCTTACGATTTGTGCTCGGTTCATTTGAAGCCATGATTGCACCATCTTGCGTTGCTGTAACACAGATGTGGTGGAGGCGAAGCGAGCAGACTCTCCGTACCAGTTATTGGAACGCAATGAATGGCTTTACTTTCATCGCTGGAAGTCTGTTCACATACGGTCTTGGGCATATTAAGAGCAAGACATTATATAAGTATCAGGTCATTTTCCTTTTCTGTGGTCTGCTTACAGTCGTCTACTCTGCTGTTGTTTTGATTTTAATGCCCGACTCGCCCATGGAAGCAAAATATCTGAAAGAACGCGAGAAGATTATCGCTGTCGAGCGGCTTCGAGCAAATCAAATGGGAGTTGCCTCTCGAAAATGGCGATGGGATCATGTCTGGGAGACTCTTTTAGATCTGAAGACTTGGTGTTGGTTCATTGCTATCGTTGCGATCTCGTAAGTTTGTGCTTATTCTCGTCGGTTGACAAACCATTTAACTGGCAGCAGGATTGCGAGTGGCGGGATCTCAACTTTCGGAAACTTAATCGTGAAGTCCTTTGGATACTCCAGTTTCGAGACGGTACTTTTCAATATTCCCTTTGGAGTGATCCAAATCATAGCAATCATCGGGACTGGTTGGCTGGCCACCCGTTTTCAGCGGAAAGGTCTCGTCATTGCAGGCACTGCTGTTTTGCCAAGCATCGGAGCCATCCTTATGCTTACTGTGCCGCGTGAGCAGAAAGGCGTTCTTCTCTTTGGTTACTATCTGGTGAGTCTACCTGCCTCTCCACTAAGAGTCTTCAACTCAGTCGATGAAATAGGTTTCTTGTATGGCAGCTATCACCCCGATGATATATGCTTGGCAGGCCCAGAATACCGCTGGGGATACGAAGAAGAAATGCACTTCTGCGATGGTTTTCATCGGAATGTGTACGGGAAACGTTATCGGACCACTTCTATACTCCATCGATGATGCTCCCTTATATCGTCCTGGATTGATTGCTAATCTCATCATGTTCGTTTTGGTCGGAATCCTCTCAGCGTAAGTCACTGATACTACCTGTGGATGTCGCAAGTTGACTAAGAAATGCAGTTTGATCCCGTTCTACCTTATGTTCCTCAATAGACGCCATGCGAAAAGACGAGAGGAAGTAGGCAAGAATGCGCAAATTCTCGACGAGTCAATGATGAGGAAGGATCAGATGGAAGATAGCAAGGCAGTCGAGCTTGAGGATGGGACGGATCGCCAACAGCATAGGACATTGGAGGAAGACAATGCTCTTCATGATATGACGGATCTGAAGAACGAGGATTTCATCTACGTTTATTGATTGGAGAACTGGTGGTCAATCGGCACTCGTGGCTTTCGTGTAGCTCCACGATCATACTAGTCTCAAATCAAGCGCTAGCGTCGGCATTCCCCCTAAGCAGTCTTGATGGAGTGTGAACTTCAGAAAAATCTGAAGCCTTTCGTGTGCTCTCTTTCCTCAACAAAGGAGTAGTCCTGATGCGTTGTATCTTCCAATACCTCAACCATATTTCAATCTTGGAATTCTTTCCACTTAGTCATTCTGTCCTGTAAATTGAGCACCTCGCCGTCAACAGCAAAGGTCCCTTCACCCCGATGATGAAACATGCGACCGTCCTTCTTGGATGGATTGGTCCAAGCCTTCACTGCCTTCAACACCCACATAGAATACTTGCCTACCATCTTTGTATCCTCTACAACACACTCAACATTAGCAATGACGTCAGGCCCTCCAACCAGCGGTGCCTTGACTTTTTCTGCTGGCAGTGCTTCCAAGCCAAAGCGTGTCCATTTGTCGACATTGTCATCGTCGTCTGCGGAGCAATTGCCAACATCCACCACAACTTCAGCCATCTCGACACTGGGAATCGCCAGAACGCATTCTCGCTTTGACTTTAACGACGCGAAGCTTGCGTCCCACGGCCCGATACAGACGCCGATAAGCGGTGGAGATTCGTGCTGCATCATCATGTGGAAACCAATCGTCATCACATTGTGAGTTCCTTCGGCTAGTGACCCCGTAGTAACAAGCAGCACCGGCCCGGGCTCGATGAGACGGTAGACTTTAGACACTGAATAAGTTGACAAGCCAGACTCTTCTTCATTTTCACGCGCTGCTGCCGTTGCAGCTACTTTGTCAGTCCTCTTTCGTTTTGGCAAGGAGCTGTCTTGCTCTGTGTCTACTTTGCGCTTTCGCGGCATGGTGATGTGATCTCGGCGCTCTTCTTTGCTGGGCATGGGCGTCGCGTAGTGTGGTTTTGTTTGGCTTCCCCGCGCCCTGCACCACCACTACGAATAGCTAATGGTAGCTGACAAATTTGGCGGGGTATTCCTTTTTGCCTGCTGAATAAGCTCTCACGGCATTCTTCCACGACATGATGCGTGCTCCGAGGCTTTGTAAAATGAGTGTCATCGCCAACCTCACGTCTATCATACGAATTTGCGCACGCTTTGGTGCACTAATCAAGAGTTCGGCGTGGTGTGATTGCGCATTCCACCAATTCCGCCATCGGATACCACGAGCATCTCTATCTAGTCTTACCAGAAAACAAGCAACTTTGGAAGTCACTTGACTTTATAGAGCTATAAAGCTGGGCATCATGTACGATCGAACGATGTTCCTTTCATGGTATCGCTCATGGTCTTGAGGAATAGTTTCATGACTCATGAATAGTTGCTGGAGGAAATGTTCTCCGTGAACAAGTCATGACTGAAGAGAATTGGTAATGTGCTATTGCCGGGCAATGAGAGCGATCTAGGACTGCTAAAGTCGCGTGCCAAGTAGCACCGTTCCCGCAAGATGCATTGAAAACTGGGTATGTACGTCCAGAACATCGGGCATCCGACGACCTTATCTCAGGCTACAAGGGAGTCTTAAGGAAAAGACCGCGCGCTTGGGCCGCGATAGGGTTAGTGACGATGGGTGGGGATAAACATCACCATCCTTATCAGTCGCTAAGGTCACTACTACCAACAAGTCTCATCAGTGGTCCGATTCCATGGCAGGACTATTGAAGCTTCCCCATGATCCGTCACCGGCGGGCTGGAACCGAGACGTGACAAAAGTCCATCGCAGGTTCATAAAGAGCCGCATTCTGCTCCTGTCACACGGGGCTGTGGCTTATCTTGTTGCCACACCATTGAACAATGTGGAAATCTGCAACTTCATACGTTTGCCTACTTGCGGCGCTGCAGCCAACGGCCGCTTTCGCTGTGGTTCGAGGTCTCCCCTCTCTACAAGATCTTGACGCACCCTATCCTGCCGAAGACGGCTACTACTTCCCTCATGTTGGCACTCATGCCTGGGTTAATCCCAATGGCACGCAGGTTCCAAAGTCGTGCGGCAGCTCAAAGCCCCCGTTCCCCATGCCCGATTGCCACGGCCTGACTTTGGAGGAGGCCACCATTGATGAGATGCAGGGGTGGATGTCGAGCGGACTTCTAACCTCTCGACAACTTACAAAGTGCTACCTCGGCCGTATCCTTCAACTGAATGAATATGTCAAGTATGTGCACTATGACTCCATCGCATCTTGAGCTTATCTAAACTGCCATCAAGTGCTGTTCTTGAGGTCAATCCCGATGTCCTTCTCATTGCTGACCAGCTTGATGCGGAGCGTGCTGCTGGGATTTTACGCAGTCCTTTGCATGGTATTCCTGTGGTTGTGAAGGTGTGTCCTTTTCCCTTTCTTTCTTATCCTGACTGTGAGGCTTACATATCTGAAGGACAACATTGCATCCAAAGACAAGATGGAGACCACGGCTGGATCTTACGCACTCTTAGGATCTATTGTCCCACGAGATGCCCATGTTGTGAAGCTTCTTCGTGAGAAAGGTGCGGTACTACTCGGAAAGTCTACACTAGATGAGTGGGCATCTATGCGATCTAACTCTAAATCATCCGGTTACTCGGCTCGTGGTGGCCAAGCTCGCAACGCTTATAATTTGTCCATGGCACCAGGTGGCTCTTCATCGGGCTCGGCTCAAGCCGTGGCTGCTAACATGATTCCTATCGCCTTCGGCACAGAAACAGATGGCAGTGTCATTGGCCCAGCACGAAGAGCTAGCATTATCGGCTTCAAGCCTACAGTCGGCCTCACATCTCGAGCTGGAGTTGTCCCTGAGTCAATTCATCAAGATACTGTCGGCTCATTTGGCCGAACCTTCAAAGATGCGATCTACGCTCTTGAGGCTATTGCTGGTGTCGATCCTAGAGACAATTACACCCTTGCCCAAAAGGGCCCCTCAGATGGCAATTACACCCAGTTCTTGGCCACCAGGGATGCCCTGCAAGGTGCCGTTTTTGGCCTGCCTTGGGCATCCCTGTGGAATCAGACTGGTAACGCTGGAGATCTCGCAGCTCTCCTGGAAGTCGTTGAACGGCTCAAGGACGCTGGTGCAACTATCATCAATGGCACCGAGTTTCCTCATTATAAGGAGGTTCTCTCGCCTTCTGGCTGGACTTGGTCTACTGGACCGTCCCCCCTCAAGAACGCTCTTTACAGGGTTAACGTCGATTTCTACAACAACATCCGTGACTATCTTTCTGAGTTGAACAACACCAACGTCAAGTCTATCGAGGATATCATCGCCTTCAATATTCAGTATACAGGTGTGGAGGGTGGTATACCCGGTACAGTTGCTGGCTTCAAGTCCGGCCAGGATGCATTTCTCGATAGCGCGGCGACCAAGGGCGCAATGAACTCTTCTTACTACGAATGTATCGAATATCTCAACAATGTTTCTCGCACTGAAGGTATTGATGCCGCTTTGGCTTATACATATCCTAACGGTACGACCATTCAGCTCGACGCGCTCCTGACTCCATCAGGTGGTGGTGCAACCAATCTCCCCGCAATGGCTGGTTATCCAATGGTCACAATACCTATAGGTCAGAATGCATACAGTGTACCTGTGGGAATCTCACTGATTGGCACCGCGTGGAGTGAGCCTACGTTGATCAAATATGGTAGCGCTTTGGATGATTTGATTCAAGGACGGAAGAAACCTGCATTTATTGAATGGTGGGCTAGGAACTTGCCTGTAGATTATTCGAAGTAGAGGAGTAACGGTCAACTTATCATTCGTGGGCAGTGTTATACAAAATCAGTAAGACCCTCATGGCCAAAGACAACATTGAAAGTGTACCAGTATGAGAACCTTGTGGATTACAATTTCCCCCCTCTTTTCATAATCGTACTTGATGAAGCGAGACCTTTAGCCCATACTACTTTCTATCGTATCTTGAGACATGTCCCTCGTAACCTTTGAGAGGTGTAGTGTTGCAGTGATCGGCCTCTCTTCTTGTTAGAGATTTCTTTTGGCTATCCCTAGAGAAGCTTGGGGTGGCCTCAATTTCACAAATACAGCATACACACAATTACCAACATGTAAGAAAATTATGGATCGACGTTGTAATTGAGATAACAAAGGAGTTATTGCATGAGGGAGGCTAATGTTCACTTTAGCATAAATCCATGATCCCCACGGGGTAAATTAGCCACCAAGCTACTTCCACAAAATGTCAGAACATAATTGGCCAATCTTAAGAATGTTCGGCATTGCCCCTGTACCCCAAGCGGCACGTCGTCTTACAGATATTAATGAAGATGTTTGAATAAAACAGTATACAGCTTCGGAAGAAAACACTTCTCCAAATTCCTGGTCAGGTGGACCTCGACGAGACTTCGCCTCCCCGAACAAGGCAGAGGTGGCAGCCCTTCGTCCGATCCCGGTATGGAGACTCCGGATTCACACCCCCACTATATACCCAATTCAAAGTCATGCATTTTCACATATAAAAACCTGGCTCTGTCAAAGATGGAATATAGGTCTCTCGACAGTTGATCCAGCCCAGCATTCGAACTTGAGGAGCACCCTTGGTTCAAGATGAAGCCTACAGCAATTCTTCCTCTTCTCGCAGGCGTCGTCAGCTCCAGTCCACTAGACTTGGAAGAACGACAGAGTTCCTGCCCTAATGTGCACATCTACGGAGCACGCGAAACAACTGTACCACAGGGCTATGGAACATCTCAAGGCTTGGTGAACATGGTTCTTCAAGCGTACCCAGGTAGCACTGCCGAAGCCATTGTATATCCTGCTTGTGGTGGCCAGAGTAACTGCGGTGGAGTGAGTTACGACCAGTCGGCCAGCCAGGGCACAGCAGCCGTAGTATCAGCTGTGACGAGCTTTAACCAGAAGTGTCCTAACACCAAGATTGTGCTCATTGGATACTCACAGGTAAGAAATTAAGATTCTTGAAAGCTCCGTTGAGAAATACTGATCGATCTGAAGGGTGGTCAAATCATGGACAACGCCCTCTGTGGTGGCGCAGGTGCAACTCTTACTGGTGCAGCACTTGCATCAGTCAAAGCAGCGATTTTCATGGGAGACCCCCATAATGTGAACGGTCTTTCGTACAATGTCGGCACTTGCAGGGCTGGAGGAGTAAGCCACCGATAGTTTTGTCTCCTTCTTCGAGATCCTAAGCTAATCAAACCAGTTTGCGGCCCGTCCCAGCGGATACAAGTGCTCTCCTGCTAACCCGTCCATTATTCAATCTTATTGCGACTCCACTGATCCGTACTGCTGCAACGGCAACGATGCCAACTCTCACCAACAGTATGTGAACAAGTATGGAAGCCAGGCATTGGCATTTATCAAGAAACTGGTCGACGCTGCATAACTCACTATTCATGTATGATATATCAATAATAAGAAAAAAGGGTGTAAATTTACTACTGTGATCTTGTTGATCTCTTGACCTCACTTCTATCAGCTGCCCATAAAAACATTGCTATCAGATTTCACGGCTTCTCGCAAGGTTGAATAGATATCGGGCACTGTTTCCAAAAATCCAGATGATACAAGGAACCTCGCATATGTCATATCCATGAAATGTTAATGGTATTTAGGCTCCTCATTCAAAGATCGGAGTGGAAATCGTTGTAGGTGAGAGGAGTAAGTTAGGACATAAATTGAATTGTTCTAATCACGAATGTAAAAGAGTGTAGAGAAAGAGACGTCGGAACCACTTCAACATAGTCTTTCGAAAGTCCTGTAACAGCATGGACAATCCGTTCTAATCTATAGATCAATCGAGCTAGCTGGACGAGCCAAGTTCACGCGCCAGTGGTGTTTGTTGATTGGGTCCTTTTGATAGATGTTGACCTCGAAAAACTTGTCGTGGTCGTCACATTTGTAGTTCTTATACCTATGTCCAAATGGTCAGCATTCTATACATGAGGTGTTCTCTAACTTAGGAGAACATGGCTGACTTACGAATTCAACTTTTGAAAATTAGCCTGAATAAGGTCGTCCTCTATGATTTCGATGAATTCATTCTCCTTGCCTTCGACAGGCACGAAGTAACGTTTGGCCTCGAGAGGCCCATAATTGACCTGTCGGACAAACTGCACCGCAAATGGTGGTTTTGTCTCGGCAAGACTGGGTTTATCTTCCTCTTGAGTGCCTACAGAAGAGGTTCTGGGAAATGCACCCCATGCTATGAAAGAGCTGAATTTGTCTTGATGCAAGAGATACTGAGGGCGGTATGGCTTAACAGCCTCACAGCAAAATAAAGCAGACATTTTCAAGAATGTTTATGGGAGGAAAGAGAGAAAAAAGCTTTCTGTTCTGCTTGGGGGGCGGAACTTCCATTGACTTGACTAACAATATAATACAATGGAGACTCAGATGTTATTTTCATACTTATGTCACAGAGTGAGAATGGATGGCACGGATATCCTTACTATCATTAGACCACTATTTCAAAATGATTGGACCGGCGATCTCCAATAGCACTAAGAACGCCATGCAGATTTTGAGGGATACTCTGCTTCACGGCCAATCAGCTTTCGGGTGGTTTTGATATCCAGCCTCACCCATGAACCGGAGGGTGTGACCTGCTGCTCCACCGTACTATTATATATGTGCATCATTCCTCTCCTCCCCTCTGACAACTTCTTTCCTTCCTTTCTTCACGGTCGGCCCCGGTGGTGCTACCGCACCCGTTCTTTACAACTGGTTTTCAACCGACTCATTCACTCAATCTCGTTCTTCTCCTTTTACGGCCATTGTCTTTCTTCCTTGGTTTTCGTCCGCTTTTCGCCAGCAAGCTCGCTTGTTATCTCATCTATTTTGTTAGGGGCTTTTTATATCTAGTTCACTTCCACAAGGGTCATCTGGACTCCAGGGACATCGAAATTCTAACACTGATCAGCCTCTTCAGTTCATTGACCCTGCCTGGGTTGAGTCCCGGAATGAAGGCCCTCTACCGGAGTATGATTGGGGTAGTTCAAGTGTTGGAGAGCCTGCTGGACAGGACGAACAAATTGAGGAAGAGCCTTGGCCGGAGAACACTCATTCAAACCATCACCCACATACCAGTAACGATGGCCAAGATGGCTCGGTTGCTTCAAACCTCCACCAATGCCAATTCTGCCAGGCCTCATTTGCCGAGAAACGCCTTCTCACGTAGGTGGTCTGATGCGAACAACACAATCAAAGAGCTAATCTGACTTGATATAACAGTAGGCACATCAAGACCCACACCCTCCCATACAAATGCACCGTGCTGGGCTGTAATGCGGGATTTGCTCTCAGCAGTGCTCGCGACCGTCATGTCAACGAGACGCATGGCACGACACGGTGGTATTGTGAATATCCAGGGTGCAGCTACAAGCTTGCCAAGGAGGGCACATCGCGTAAGAAGAATCTCGATAGGCATATGCAAAGCTGGCATAAGATATCATTGGACGATTTCAATCGAAGATGAAGCAACCGAGAAGATCTAGACAATTTATACACATCGTTGACTCAATTCTAGCATCATCGTGAACCCTAGGAACATGTAGCGTAGCCCGCGAGATACGTCCCAAAGGTAGACACGATTGAAACTCACCGTGGTCGTACTAGCACATCGCGGTGTCGCCGCACGAATGTGCTGAAGAAAGAGACTTAGCCAACAGCCCGATTAAAAGTGGTACAAATCCCATTCAACACTTGATGGTAGACTTGTCATTCATCTTTGCTATGTCCAGGGACTTTGATAACGTTTTACCCAACCTTACTGCGACTTTACGGATCTATACTGCTGCAATGGCAACATTGAGAAATACTCACCACCAGTATGTCAACAAGTATTGAGCCAGGCTATGGCATTGATCAAGAAGCTGGCCAAGACTTTGTAGCCTGAAGATTAATTCTTATTTGTGAATGATGAAGGCAACTTTGAGAGCTTCAAAAGCCGATATATAGGTGGCTCAATACTGACAAGATTCACGGCGATTCAAGGCTTTACGATCGTGGTCTTTTGGTTCTCATTAAGTTAGAAGCACTAAAGTCTCCTCAATATGCCGTTCGGCTGAAATGTGAGTTAGCGGTTACGGTATATATCATCAATCGTCCGGCAACTAAAATTCGGGTCAGCTGGATTCTAGAAGAATACTACAGCTGACATGTGCTCACCCTGCCAGAGGGGCCCAAGAGTTGCTAGACGCTCACACTGGGGTGAGGATGAGGCAGGCGTGCGGCGTGAAAATACTCTTTCAAGAGGATGAATATTGAGATATGAAGCTAGATATTATGCATGCACGTTTGGTACGAGAAAGGGGGGATAGCATCGGGCTGGACATGTTCACCTACTATGAGATTAACGTACATCGTAGTTGGAAACGGAACGTTGGAAACGGCAAGAATTATATATGGCAACCTTCTAGGCATAATAAAGATTTACAACTGCATCAAAGCCTAAAAGTAGACAGAGCAAGTGAAATAGAAGAAGGGATTGCCCATGAAGGAATATCTCTTGGGATTTGCATGTCACACTACCTAATTGTCAAAGACTTGGCGCATGGGAGGCGGGGATGGCGGCGGCTACTCCCGCTAAAGAAAGGCGAGAACGACTTAGGGCCAAGTCGAGACTAGCTGCCACACTGCCAGAGAGTTCGCATAGGTAGTGAATCTAGTGATGCCATTTCCAATGTCATTGGAGGAACGACGGCAACTGCTACCTACTGCAGGCAATAGCTCCAGCAGGCCGGTGAGGTCTTCAGGCGTCGACAGCGCACTGATTGGCAGATCTTTGCAGGGTATTGACAGGCGAGAACAGGGTCTAGATCCCGGCAACTTAGCACGCCGCGGCGGCCGTTCGTTCGGTGGTGAAGGCGGTCAGAATAAAACCCCGCGTTGTCCGACTCCGCCCGAGGTCAATTGCTGCTCCTCCACACAGCTCCACGAACCCTTGCGAGCCTTGCTGCTGCATAGCACATCACAGCACAGGGCTGCAGATCGACATCCGTCTTCCCATCCTTTTAGGGCATCCGGCATGGCTGACAAGGGAGAAGACCCGGAAGAGCCCGCTCCGGCGCAACCTGCCGCCGAGATCACGACCCCGGCAGCGAAGTCTCCAGCATCTAGGGATTCTTCGACCGGGGCGCGCCGTGACGCGCCGATCGAGGTCGACGATACGGTATGCCCGGTTCTCTTGGTATCCCGGGGATCATACTGATGATTTATCTGCAAGTTCAACGACAATGATTCTGCTTTTGATGACAGCGCGTAAGGGATTGGTCTCGAATGTCCCTCATTGGTGCGGCCCTGCTGATCAGTGGACTGAGCAAACAGGTCCGTTTACACAGCCTCTCTGGCTTCGAGTGTCGAGAACTACCCCATAGAACATGGCCGAAGGTATCATGCCTACCGAGCAGGCAGTAAGTCCAGTCCTCATACGCTCCGTGCGAACGTTACTTACCATTGGCCAGGATATTCGCGACCAAATGACGAGGTGAGGATACGCCCACGAGTGGTACCAGGATGAGGAACTAACAGACTTTCTGCTGTAGATGGAGATGGACCGTCTCCTACTTATTCACGACATAGTGACTCGTGTTACTGATGGGCTATACCAAGCTCCAATCGATAAGGACAAGACCAAACTCATTCTGGACATCGGCACGGGTACCGGCATTTGTGAGACATTTGTCCCCTCACTGCTCGCGTACTTGCTAGCGACTAACCTTCTCAGGGGCGATATCAATCGGTGATGAATTCCCAGAGGCTACTGTAAGATCCCCATTGCGTCCAGGTTGACTGGCTTGTAACGGCTCGCTCCAGCCCAGGCGCAAAGCGCCTTTTAAATTGTCAAGCTCCTTGCTGATTCATCCGTTTTCCTCACCGTAGGTCATTGGAAACGATCTTAGTGCTAATATGCCTACTTTCGTTCCCCCAAATGTCAAATTCGAAGTCGACGACGTTGAAAGCCCATGGTTATACGACCAGAAGTTTGACTGGATATTCTGTCGATATATGGCTGCCAGTATCTTCGAGTGGCCAAAACTCGTCAATACTATCTATGAGTGCGTCTTACCCCACCGATTGACTATACGAGCGACTGACCTAATGAACAGTAATCTGGAGCCCGGTGGCTGGGCTGAGTTTCAAGACTTCGACTTACAGTACTACTCCGACGACGGCTCTCTGAAACCAGAGGATCCCCTGCTATTCTGGATCTCCACACTCCTCGATGCTGCCCGGCAACTGAAGAGGGACCCAAACCCAGGCTCGAAGCTGGAAGGATGGGCCAAGGATGCGGGCTTCCAGAACATCGTCCACAAAAAGTACAAGATTCCCATTGGTCCGTGGCCTAAGGATCCATTGCTCAAGGAGGCTGGCATAATGAACTACATGCAAATAACAGGCGGCCTCGAGGGGCTGTCCATGAGACTGTACACAAATGTGCTAAAGTGGAAGGTGGAGGAGATTTTGGTGCTGCTTGCCAAAGTACGCAAGGACCTGAAGAATCCGAACATTCATGCCCTTATGGATTTGTAAGTTCTGATCCCCACTTCCACTTGAATCTTAGCAAAATGCTAAACAGTCTCTAGCCATGTGGTTTATGGCCAAAAGCCAGAATGAAAGTTGTTAGCGATAGCATGATGATACCTTTTTCAGTTGTTTATATCCCTATCATTTGATAAATCATAGCGTTGGCACATCTCCAAGAAAGAAGAAACCTAGCACTCGATACGATTTCAAGTCGTCCGTTCAGTATTCGATTTGTAACCATTCTAGGACTGGCTGCGGAATCAAACGGTTGTTCGTCGGCTCCGGTTGGCTCCGTGACCTCCGAGAGATCTAATCGATCCACTTTTACCTGTTGCGGATTTGTGAGGAACACCAATGATTGAAGTCCCGACCGCACATGGTATGCCGGCAGGTCGGCACTCGGTGATCCGTGAAAAATGGGCGGCGACATCATCGGCTTCCGCAATGATCAACTCGTCCCGTCCGTTGTTTCGGGCCTCAAGATACCCGTGTGTTGCCATGAAATGCTTGCGCTGTTTGGCGTATATAAATTCGTAATGTCTAAGGCTTCTCATCATGCTCAATCTGATCTTCTAAACCGTAGATATCATCAAGCAGTTTCATTCTTATAACCCATAATATGGCTCTACCAGCAGGTTTGTCGATCGATTATTTCTACCCCGGTGGACCTACTCTTGGAGACGACGCAGTCGATGCCTGGGAGCTGAAAGCGTCGCGGAGGGCCCTCCGGAACTTGCGAACCCTGCTCGCCGGACAGCCAATGCTTAATCTCATTGCGAAGCAAATTGAGGAGGCCGATGAATACTACAAAAGCATTATCGCCGAATCCCAGGGCCAGTATAAAGAGTCTCGCATTGATTTGAAGGTCAAGGGGCTTACTGTTGGCCAATTTATGACCTGGCAGAGAGAGTGGGTGGAGGATCTCAAGACACATGAAGGGAAAAGGGGCTTTTATCTCAACACAATGGTCCCAGCGCACCCAGAGCACTACGCTCTCCCTGATTACCCGATAGGTATCATCGAGACCATTGGGGAGCATATAGCTCGCGTTCGTCTTCACAACGACAGCACCTTCCCTGACTTCATCCTGGAGTATGCCGACCCGTCTTATTCGAACGTGAAGTTCGTCGGAAGCTTGGATGATGGTAGTGTGTTGTTCTACGTCTTACAGGAGTTCAAGGACGCAGAAGATGGCGCACATTTCATCTTGAGGCTTTTGTTCCCTGCGGCAGCCCCCCAAGTCCTCTTTGATGAGCATGCGGAACACTTAGCAGTTGAATTTCGGAGCTTCATTACCGCAGCGTTTAAAAGACACCGAGAGTTACTAAGAACTTGATCTGAGATTGGAAATCCAGAAGCTAGTCTATTGCTCGGGTGACGAGATCGACTGACGGCGAGATTGGAATTAGACGAGGAATAGGAAAACATGTCTTCTCCCCCATCTTTCCGTCAAATTATAAAAGAAACCTTGGATCCTGGAGCTATTTGAGCGTATAATATCGTGCTTGATATCATGAGATAATTTCATACGTAGTTCGGCTACCATGAACAAATGACTGGATTCTAGCTTGAGATAGCGCGTTACATATGGTCAACGAAACTCAGTACACTGTAGGGATGGGAATAGACTGCAACTAAATTTGGAAAAGCCTAGCGGACATCATGTAATCGAGAAGATCGTCATTGGGAACTGACTCAGGCCAGTAGTTATTCACCCACTCCACAACCCCACACTCAGCGCATATCCACAGACCCGTAAAATTACAACATAATGAACCACTCAGAGCTTTCTCATGCCGGTGCCGTTTGCCGGGCATTGAATGATGGGGAGCGGGCCGAAATAGGGAATCTCAAGCGCTATATTCGGCTACTTAGGGCCAGCCTTGTTGAATTATAGTAGTTGAAACGAGCCGGCACTGCGAGCATCGTTCCTTTCAATCTTACTTACGTTGACGCTGAACCAGTCCTGTTGCATCATGGCATGGGGTTCAATTTTCCTCCAGGTCATCCTTCTCTTGAGCCTCGGCGTTGCGTCATCCGGAGCGACGTCAGATGGTCAATGCCAGATCACACCGACCGACAAGCGAAGGCTTTTCGTGCTCACTGATATCGCCAATGAGCCCGATGATGCGCAGTCGCTTGTTCGCCTCCTTGTCTACTCGAACGAGTTCGATATTCAAGGAATAGTTGCTACCACGAGTGTGTGGCTCAATGACACTACTCGCGCCGACCAAATCTATGGCATCCTTGACGCATACGAGGAGGTGCTGCCAAATTTGCGGAAACATGCGGATGGCTATCCTGAGGCAGCCTATTTGAGAGGCTTGGTCACCTCTGGCCTACCTGTCTATGGTATGGACGGCGTTGGCAGTGCAAAGGATAGTGACGGCTCGAAGCTGCTGGTCAGTGCCGTCGATGCCTCTGATGAGCCTACCTGGGTACTTGTATGGGGTGGTTCATCTGTTCTCGCACAAGCCTTGTGGCACGTCAACGCCACACGATCATCCACCGAGGTCGAAAAGTTCGTCTCAAAGCTACGTGCGTATGCCATTTCCGACCAAGATAATACTGGCGTCTGGATCCGACGCAATTGGCCTCAGTTGTTTTACATTGCTAGCGTACATCACTTCAACCGCTACGCACTGGCTGCCTGGTCTGGAATTTCTGGAGAGGCACACTATTTCTTTCCATGTGAAGCCGACGAGGCCGTAGTGTCATCTCAATGGATCGAATCCAATATCCAGAGTGTCAGCGCATTAGGTGCAAAATACCCAGATCCCGAGTTCATTGTCGAAGGGGATACGCCTTCGCTCCTATACATGATCCCTAACGGATTATCAGATCCCCAATATCCGGAATGGGGCTCGTGGGGTGGCCGATATGGGCCAGTCAACTATGGAGAAGGACATTTTGCCGATACTGTAGATGTCGTGGTCGATCAATCTGGCAAGACCCTTATGGGATCGCATATTACTGTGTGGAGATGGCGAGAGGCATTTCAGACCGATTTTGCTGCACGAATGCAGTGGTCGGCCCAACCGGAGTTTACGAGAGCGCAACATGCTCCAGTTGTCTCTGTTAATGGAGACACAACCCGGAACGTACTCAAGATTATTGCGAAGGAGGGGCAAGAGATCATCGTCGATGCATCATCGTCTTGCGATCCTGATGGCGGAAAGTTGTCGTACAAGTGGTGGCAGTACTTGGAGCCATCATCGACTCAAAATAGCGCGAAAGACGTATCAACCCTCGCACTGAAGAACACTGACTCGGCCAAGGTTACCGCGACAATACCAACGAAAGACGTCCTTCGGGCGGAAGGTCGCAATAAGCACCCGCGAGATGATAAGCACTTGCATCTAATCTTAGAAGTTTCGAATGGAAAGCTCATTTCATATCGGCGGGTTGTGTTCACCATACTAGGACCGGACTCATTAACATTATTGGGAGGACAAGAAGAAACACATCATGATGAATTATGAATACTAAGACAGACTGATTCCCTGTTGCATAGCAAAATGTGCCATTCAACAGGCAAGTCTAAGGCCATATCCATACCTTATATAGACGAGTAGATATACAAAGTAATTCTGACTCATTCTAGGCATACATGTTCTCTGGAAATTGTATCATTATAGTGTAGTATGCCTGAATCTAAGTATCCAAGCAATCACAGTCTCATTTGGCCAGAGTAATAAGAGTCAGAAATATGTTCCAACCAAAGCCAACGCAAGAGGCCACCACCACGCGATACTCCACAGGTACCCAGAGAAAATTACACAATGAAACCACTGGCCATATTCTCCAGCCTGTTTGGATGATGCGCCAAATCTTCTGCTGCACTACTTCCACAATCTGACTTCCTTTGTCCACACGTGCGATGTTGGTGCAAACGAGGAACGTTGTGTTCATGATGAACTGCCCCAATGTTTGGTCGAGAATAAGCTTCGTGAAGACATGTAACCAATTGATTGCGTTTTCTTGATTCGGCCTCGAGGTAGACTTGCTGTTTTTGCGAGTTGGGAATGAATCCTCAAGAAACTGCTGCCATAATGAATTGATTTGAGCTTGGATCAAGCCAAAAATGGCGAATTCGACGATGCTTTGCCAGTCAAGCGGATGTGAATTTTCATATTTATATCGCGCCGCGAGCTGGGCTGTCAAGTTTGCCGCAGCCTTGAGGATGGCTGATTGAACTGCGGCCGTGAGCGTCGAAGGCATTGCAGTTGTAGTTTCCAAGAGAAGTGCATCGATCTTTCAACGTATCATGTCTTGTAGATGCGACCTTCCAAACGCAACTGCTCAATTATATCTAGTGGAAATATGGCGTCGTGATGATGATAGATGTGGATGAAACACGAAAAGCTAAAAGGGCTTGCATGCCAGACGATTACTCTATGGAGCAATGTTTAGCTCTCTAAAGCCCATGCATCCTATATCATTGGCACAGCGGGAATAATTCGCTCCTTAAAGCCCACCACCTCCACTGCCATCCTACACTAGCCTCGGCCCCACAGGATCAAGCCGATCGCGGGATGAGAACCTGCAATTCCTACTTAGGATAACTCGTGCTTAGCATTTCCCTTTTCGGCGGTCTATGTGGAAAAACAGGGCAGGAAGACACATCGTGGGGTACCCGTGGGCCTCCGCAAAAAGGCACGAGCCTCGTCTGCAATTGATATATGAAGGGCATTGTGTTCCTTAGGTCCAGCATGTAGCCTCTCTCGTCTGTATCAAAGGACCTCTTTTCACCCTAAAACGTGTCGAAGACGGTTTATACGCCGACTTTCACGATGCTTGCTAGACTGAAGGACGAGCCCCTTTACCAGGACCTCAATTGGCGCCTGGTAGCTATTGGCTTGATCTCAAGCTTGGGCGCCCTTGGATTTGGCTTCGATAATGGCTGGTGGGGCGGTGCGCTCGGATTGTCCGAATTTAAGAAGAAGTACGGCGAGTACGATGCGGATCTTGACGCCTACGCCCTCCCTTCGCAAAAGACTTCTGTCGGAACAGGCACCGGCTCGGCTGGTATCATCATTGGTTGCATTCTCGCACCTTTCGTCACTTCCAAGCTCGGCAGAAAGAAGTCATTCCTAGTCATTTCCGGTCTAATGCTCGTTGGTGTGGCACTCGAAGCATCGGCAGTCACATCATTTTGGCAGTTGGTTGTTGGCAGAATTATTGTCTACTCAGGTATCGGTCTAGCATCGAACTGCGTGCCAATGTATCTCTCTGAGTGCTCTCCACCACGCATTAGAGGTGTGTATTTCTCATTGGCAATGGCTATCCTGCACGCATGATATCATACTGAAGCTTTGTTCTTAGGCGCTTTCTTGGCTCTTTACAGTTTCTTCACTTCGTTAGGTACTTTCCTAGCATGCATCGTGGTCTATGCGTCTAAAACACGCTCAGATAGATGGCAATACTTGTAGGCATTACTGATCAGTTTTCGTCAATCGAGAATGAATCTAACGTAATTTAGAGTCGTCATTCTCGTCCAGTTAATTGTTCCTGTCGGCTATATCTCGATGTACGTCTTCATCCCCGAGTCGCCGCGTTGGCTTGTATATCGCGGCCGTTACGAGGAGGCGGAGGTAGTCATGAAGTCTCTTTCAAATCACCCAGAAGCAATTCCCCACGAAGTTCAGCTTCTCAAGGCGCAAGTCGAGGAGCAGCGTGAATTGCACAAGGCTACATCTATCCTGGACTGTTTCAAAGGTTCCAACCTGCGACGCACAGCAATTGCCATGGGTGTACAAATCCTGCAACAGGCACAGGGTGTATCTTTCATTCAGAACTTCATCGTTACATTCATGCAGCAGCTCGGTTTCCCTGATCCCCTCCGAACCAATATGATGGTTACAGGTTGCGGTTTTGCAGTTCATATCATCACATTCCTTACCTTTGATCGAATCGGCCGTAGGAGATCGCTGACTTGGGGCGCCGTTGGCCTTGCTTGTTGTATGCTTGGAACTGGAGCTGCGACGGCCACCGGCAGTGCTGGTAATTATTCGTCTTCTGTCTCCAATGCATCAGCCGCTCTGCTCATTTTGTGGTATTGCGTCTTCGGCTTTACCTGGGGTCCGGGCTGCTGGGTAGTTGCGGCTGAAACTGGTACTGGCCAGCTTCGTGAGCGGACGTTGTTCCTTTCGTCAATGGCGAGCTTTGTCACGTCAGTACCAATCAATTTTGTCAATCCTTACGTGCAGAAGAGGCTCGGTGGAGGCGTTACATTCATCTATGGTGGCTTCTCCGTTTTAGCGATCCTGTGGGTGTTTCTCATGGTTCCAGAAACAAAGAATCGCTCACTGGAGGAGCTGGATGAGATGTTCCAGAATAACGTCAAGACAAGGCATTTCAAGAGATATGTATGTACTGGACTGGGAGCACAAATCACACAGTTGGAAGAGAAGGGTGGTAAGGTGTTGGAGGATGCTTGGGCAGAGGAACATAAGGAACACCCAACCGAAGGTGATGAGGCCCAGGTTGCCAAGTAGTACTAAACGGGCCATAAAATGGTCCAGTCTTGAAGGATATTAGGTTTCCTGAATATAGCAGAAAACACCGCGAACTACAATTCGTTCAGAGCCGCGGAATTGAGGATCAAATGTTTACATGACCAGCGCAAATTCCGACCACGGATGTGATGTTCATGCTTCCCAGAGAACATCTAATTATTGTCCAAGCTTTCAGTCTTCTCCTGCCTTTTCTCTGCCTCAATGTGTGGAGCATCGACTGTCTTGTTCAGGAAAGCAGTGAAATAATTGTCCATATCCTTTGTCGCGAAGAGACAGGCATCAATACAATGCCGTCGAATGCAAACCTACTCAAATGAACGGTGCTATAGGAGGCCACATACGCTCGCTTGATGCCTGCTTGTATAGCTGCTTTTAACACTGAAGTTAATTCTAGGAATTTCATCCAAGGCAGTCGACACGCCACTTTTCACCGCCACGATCAGCTTGGGGATTTGGTCCGGTGATAGGCCAGCAACTTCTGCCGCTTTAGTGACCTTCTCCGGCATTTAATTCGAGTACCCATTTATACTTACTCACAATTATCCCGGTAACAGCTCGGGTGGAGGCAAACAATGCGGATCCTAATCCAATATGCTCGGGAGGCACGACAAGGCCAGCAATGACTATCGCAATGACCTCAATCCATCCAACAAAAAGTCCAATAACAATTGTCACCTATCTAAACTAATCTCGGAAAATGAATGGCTGCTGATACCTTGAACTTATAGCAAGTGTTAATTTCTCGTGCTCGTCATCACTTAGGGTCATGACTCCGTAGAGGGTGTTAAGACCAATAACAGACATGAACATTTGTAGCTTGATCCGAGCGCATTTCTTACAAAAGGGCCCAGCAATAATTTCTTCCACAGCAAGAGCAGCACCGGCGGTGCACCAAGATGAAACGTCAGCAGTTGGTCAATACAATGTCTGAATACTGACCGACATCCAACTTATCTCGATGTCGTCTGTAGTGTAAAGGTTGGCAATCTGTTGCGGCCTTATGACGTTGAATACATAGAAGGATATTTGTCCTACTAATCCAACAATACCAACGAACCCGTGTGTTTAGAAGTCATACGTCATGACTGTGAGAGGACAGTTTCCCAAGTCTGCAATTTGGCAAATCCCCATTCTGCTAACTGGAAAGACTTGGTGTCCGCCCGCTCTACAAGACGACTCGCAAAGGAAAGGGCTTAAGTAGTGTTCTTCACTAAGTGGCTGGATGCCCTGACCAGGATTCATAAACCCAACTTAGATGCCCTACTGGCTCTCAAAATCCTTAACTTCTACATCGCTTCGGCCGACGAGATCAAGGCTAGAGATTCTCGGCGGGCGCTATATGATACAACCAACGGAACAACGACAAGTCAGACAATGGCTAGGTTATCAACAATCAACTCCGAAGCAATGAGAAACTAGCTCAATCAGTGGGCATTTTAACATGATGGCAAGATCCTAGATAGACTCATTTTATTTCAATTACATCATCGATACAGAGCTAGAATCCTCATTTAGTGTGGGGGCATACTCTTAAATGTATTTATACTGTCCAACACATCCTTTCAGATTTAAGGCATACAAGCGAACCTACTACAACCTACGCAATTGAGATAGCCTTAAAATTCGACACTCTTGATTTGCTCAAAGTACTCAAAGTAGTGACCATTTCTGTAGCGTGAAAACATCAGACAAAGCCGAAGCGGATTTTGATAACCGGGTGATATTCTCAGTCCAATTAACTTGTTTCAATTTCCGGTTCATTACTTTGAACATGGGCTGAGCACTGAATCAACCAACACCGGAGGTTCCTACACTTCGGAAAGTGAATTCCGCCTCTTGCTCGTCGATGGGAACTCACTGCACCGCAGCGGCCTCCGCCATCAGCTGCGCTTGGCAACATTTCTCAAGGGAGACGAATTAGAAGATGGCCGACTCCACTGTCTGGACTACAGTGAGCAAGCCGTGATTTTGTAAAAGACATGCGTTTTTGCCACCTAGAGCGGCGGCAATGTTCTCCTCTTCCTCCTTGGCGAGTACGGCGCTTTTGAACTGGCGGTATACCGCAAGGTCTTTGTAGAAGACGCACGAGTCTTGCGTCAACATATCTATCGGGTGTCCAAGCGTGCAGAATGTCTGACCGTAGAGGCTGTGTGAGTGAGCAGCGCAGTTGACGTCTGGCCTTGCTACATGAATAGCATGATGAATCATGTACGCGGCCTTGTTGAGAAGTCTGTTAGAGCCACCGTCGACAACTTCTCCATCCTTATTAACCAGGATCAAGTCCGACTTCCTCATAAGGCTGAAAGAGGTGCCTAGGGGATTCACCCAGAAGTGATCAGTCATGATGGGATCACGAAGAGTGATGTGGCCGGCAACACCTTCGTTAAAGCCGAATTTTCCGAAGACTCTGAACGCTAGAGTCAAGCGACCCTCGAGGTACTCGCGCTCCTCGTATTTGTTTGAGAAGACAGGTGGCAAAGGAATGTTCTGTAGCTGGACTTCAACACCGGCTTGCTTTGCTCCGCTGCAAGATGGGTCAGTTGATTGGAGTTTACTGTACTGAACTGTATTAAACGAAGTATGGGCATCGGCTTGAAAATAGGTTGTAAGAGATGGGGCCATGACGAATGATTTCTGTTTCTTTCAACTTTGCTCTTCAGAAATTTATGATATCATGAAACAAAAAGTTTTTGACTCATGTGAGATATAAGTGTCAAGAAGCAAAGCCAATCAAGGGCAGGTAATCTTGGGACACATGGCCAAATTCTGTGGAAATGGTTTCCCATCAAAGATGAGGAGCTTCAGCTTCGCTCCGAGACGGATGCATGTGCCCCGGAAAGCTTGCAGGGAAATATATAGTCGATCAATTGGTTATATAATCTATACGTTATAGGCATTCACTCTTACCTAATCTACACTGAAGGTTCTTGATATATGGTCGTTGAAGGCGAATACGGTTGATCTGTTGAGAGTCGCGTACTCCAAACCCGAAATTCTGGCAGGTAAGACCAGTTTCCAATGGTGGTCATAGCTTATTTTACTCTCAATCAGATCTATGGCCCAAGCGCAAATCTGTAAGCCCTGCTCTTACTAACAGATATTGACTGAGCTTGGTGGTCGTTTTGTGTGCTGTGTGTTAGTACCTGTGTTTTACTCGACCGGCACTAAATGCAATGCGAATTTTTCTAGAGAACAAATGAACATCGATTGGATGAGAGGCATGTATTTAAACCTCCAGGGCTTTGGCAGTGTTGGCGGGCGCTCAGCCCTCCAAATGGCCATCGAAAATGCCCTGTACTCCTTACCAAACATCGACCTCATTGGCCATTCCATCCGCCCTGTGGGCACCTCATTTTTGTTTTGGTAGGTTGCGATTGGTTTAACAAGGCGGCGGCGTACCACTCACATTCTGAGGCGCGGGGTACCACTCACATTCTGACGCAAACGCCCGATTCAATGATACTCAACAGGCTTCCAATGAAACAGGGCAGCAGTGCCTACTGCTGACCAACA